GCAATGCAAAATTGAAAGGGCGAAAATTCTGTGAACAAGCGAGTCATTTATTCCCTCGTCAATTTATATATTTTTCAAAAAAAAATAATAAAAAAAAATTAAAAAAATAATAATTTAGAAAAGATCTATACCAAAACTGCAAACAAAACAAAAGCCCACCTAGCAAACCTAAAAAGATCAATTTTACCTTGAAGCTTAGGCTGCTCGATAATTTTGAAACCTAAAAAATCATCTGTAGCATTAATGTCTTCAATCATGCTACATGTACACTTTGTTTGACATCATTTCTAATATTTTGTTATGTGTCGCAACATGAACAGACAGTTTTAAAATGAAATACACTCTCTTATCCATTTCAATTTGAAAATCAATAGAGTGTCAACCATAATGTAAACAAAAGAACGTACAAGTGGCTTATTTCTAATGTCTCCTCCAGCTCCATATTTGGCCACGGGATAAAGAAGCTGATAATGGTGATCGGGAAATGACTATTAGGAAGCAAAGGAGGAGCTCGGGAGTGGGGAGAAAATACATTTCAGCATATGGAGTGGATCAAATCCAAATCCATAACAGTAAACTTGATCACATATATACACATCCACCATATTTGCCAATAAAGTTTTATGTTTGGTGAGTCAGTGAACACAATCAATAATCTGGAAGTTTGGAGTTGACAATGAATATATTTTACCGTTTCCCTTTCAAATCAACAATGATGCCCACAACTAAAATCCACATGATGGAGAAAGATGAATATGATGAATGATTTGTTACCTTGATGCGGTAAGGTGTATGTTTCTGTTCTCTTCTGTTGCAACAATATATGACGTGAATAGAATCTTTACATTTACAGTAGTTTGTCAGTAGAATTCAACTGCTCTGAATTAGTAAAAGAGAAAAGCCCTTGTACATCATGATTTACACCATGATGTACGGTCCCTTCACGTGTTGAGGGAGCCCACTTGAATAAAATAATTGTGGGCCCACAACTTTAAACACTAAGCACTTTTGTTAGCAAAACTTCAATTTTAATCCCACATTTCATGAAATCCACAACATTTACAAATAAATGGGATGTTACGTTAATAGGAACAAGAAAGTATTTATAGTTGTGGTGATATAAACAAGAATTCTAATTCGAGCCGCAAAAATTTGTACATAAAATTTTCAATCACATATTTCATACTTTCATCAAAATCTGCTAAACTTTTATCAAAAATTTTGGTCAAACAACACCTACATATTCATCAAGTCCAAATGATATATTTTTCTTACTAAAATGACAATATTGAATGACAAGGACAATGAAGGAATTCCCATATGACTCGTCAGCAGCATAAAATTGATCTAGGCAAAGATAGAATTGTCAGGCATAACAGTAGATCCTACAAGGTGTAAACAGCTAAAAAAAACTGAAATGCAACAAGCAGATATCCTCACGCTGTCTACCTCACTTCCTCCCCTTCTGCAGAAACTAGGTTAAATCTTGACTGACCAACAAGAATATTGATCAAACGATTCAAACTTGTTCAAAATTCTTTGAAATACACGAATCTAACATCAGGTTGTCTGGAAATCACATTGTGACAGTTCTCAATTCCAAGCTGGGATGCTCCCATTTCCTCAAGGAAAAAAAAAAGAAAAAAAGACTAAAGACCTCTGCAGTATAAACTTCCCTAAAAATGAAGGAAAGAATGAAAAGAAAATTTCCAGAAAAGTTATCAAACCTTTATCAGTCGGTCCAGAAGAGCATTAAGACAGTTCCATCCTCCTTCCTTTTAGACAAATCTGGCTGATTTACCCGCTAGTATGAGTTTGGAATAGTAAACAGATATGCATGGAAAAATTCAATTTTGTGTCCTCTATTGTTTCAGAGTTCAGAGTTCACCGAGTGGATCAAGTATAAATTTGCACATGAAGGCTTCTGAAGTTGACAATCACGGTTTTCAAAGGAACAAAAACAGCTTAACCCAAATTAAAAGGGCGAAGGTTTTAAACAAGGAAACATAATATAATTTTTGGGTCGACCGAAAATTAGAGTTAGCAGAGAAAGAAATTTTATTTCTAAACACATCAAATACATTTCATGAAATTTTCACCAGAATCAAATAAGAGAGGAGCTTTGCAACGTATGAAGTTAAAGAAACGCGAGAGAGGAAACATTATCAAACCTACTTTTTATTGGATATATGCATGTCATAAATAAACATTCAAGTATAAGCAACTGCTTATGCAAAATATGGGGTTGCCTTGGTAGCAAATAAAGGTTCGTGATGATTTTGAATCATATATTAAATTGAACATATTCTTTACTCTTGATATATCCCTTTTATTGCCCTTCGGCCTAGATGGTGCAATACAAATGACTACTTGTGAGGTACCATGGAAACTCTTAGTCCAGCTTCTTACTTCATCTCGCCCCGATGGGGATGAATGGGAAAAGGGTATGGAACAGACATATCAATATGCGTGGATCATACCTTTTTTTCCACCTCCAGTTCTTATGTTAAGTCGGTCATCCATGAAACAATTACCACATTCTAATTAAATTCATAAAACAAGTTACTGTTAATGTTTCTTCTTTCTTAAAGAAACTAATACAACACTCTACATGAATTATACAGTAATTATAGTAGCAAGATTTGATAATAAGCTTTTCTTCTCTTTCAATGGTCTATTGGCCTCATAGATTATAACCGATTTGTTTTTCAACTTCTAATCACAAGGCTTTATGGAGCACAGAAGGATGCGTTATCATCTTATTGTCTATTGCACTGAAAATAGCATGAATCTTTGAAGAAACATAGAACAACAATCATGTTAGAAAGACTTAATGTTCAATTACAAATCACGAATAGCAAAATCATCAGAGTATAATGAATCTTACGTATGTCTTTAGCAAAATCACCAGAGTATAATGAAACTTACGTATGTCTTTTCGCTCTACACCTGTTAAATTACAAAATCACCAGAGTACTACACCTGTTAAGTTACAAAATCACCAGAGTATAATGAATCTTACATATGTCTTTAGCAAATTCACCAGAGTATAATGAAACTTACGTATGTCTTTTCGCTCTACACCTGTTAAATTACAAAATCACCAGAGTACTACACCTGTTAAGTTACAAAATCACCAGAGTATAATGAATCTTACATATGTCTTTAGCAAATTCACCAGAGTATAATGAAACTTACGTATGTCTTTTCGCTCTACACCTGTTAAGTTAGATGAACTCTCCATTGCAACTACATAGCCTTGATTAAAAGTTAAAATTTTCAAGCATAAACAGCAGAGTTGATAATTCTAACATGAAAATTATCCACTGCTGGTATGATAAATGTGCCATCAGGACTACTTTGCAAACGGTGGAACTACTTTGTTCCATGGCAATTTTGCTTGCCATAGCAAAACAACATAAGCAACCTTTACTTATGCAAGAAATTCATCCTGTACAGGTGCAATTACAAAGATAAGGTCAGAATATCATATATTTGAATGTATGGAGGTGCTATTACAAAGATAAGGTCAGAATATCATATGTTTGAATGTATGGATGATTAATGGAGATTAACAAACTTCCATAAGTTCAGTAAGTTCATAATGCACCTTGCGAGCAAAATTGTTACCTCTAATTCTCTTTCTGTGTGACTTCCACAACAATTTGGTGTTAGAGCTAAGTGTTGAGTTTTTTGATACCCAATAAATTCCTGTGATGATTTAAAACAGACCTATACTTTTGGATGGCTCGAATTGGGGTTGGATTTATTGTTGATGGATATATTGTTTTGGCCCAATAGTTATTAGGTTTGCCTAGGTTTTAAGAAGCCCATTTGTTTGGTTAAGTGGGAACTCATTTTGGAGGTTTTACTTGGCCCATGTTGTGATGTCTTTTATATATATATATACTTCCCAGCCATGAGAGTGTGGTGGACGTGAGTGTTTGCACAATGGAGAGAAAAACGTGAGGGAGCCGTCTTGGAGGAAAAATTTAGCCATTGCTACCTCTATTCTCTTCTTCCTTTGTGGGTGCATTTTAACCACCACTGTGTGTACTTTGTGGATACTAAATAGAGAGCAACCAGAGAAGGTAAAGAGGGCAATCCAAAGTGAAGGTAAAGTCTTGGGTCGAGTCGAGGTAAATCGATGTTCGTTTGATTGTTTTCTGATCTCGAAATCAAGATTTATCGAGGGATTTCTGCGACAGTAAGAAAGGGGAAGAAAGAGAAAATGAAAGAGAGAAATAAGCAGAAAACTAGATAAAACAAGAATTTGGGAAGGAAAGTGTATAATTCAATAACAATAATCAAGAAGTCCGAATACAAATGAAACCTAGGGTTTTCCTTATTAGGGTAAAGAACTTAAATCTAAATGGATTTCTAATATATCAAAACTATTCACATAAACAAGATTTTAGTTAATCAAATTATTGAACTAATCTAAATTAACTATCTTTTCATGTAATAGACTTCTAAACGTTTCTTTCACTTTGTCTACCAAATTTGCATTGAGCCCCATATGCTATTTTTCATTTTTTTTTTCCTGATGGGACATAGGTCAAAAGAATTGTTATATCAAGAGTATATATTCTAGTAAGAAACAGAATAGTGGTGCCCCCCAGGACACATCCGAGATGGTGGAACAATCACTATGACGGGTTTGCAACCTCAGCGTAAAGAGTTCGATTCCTGATCAACGCAGTGAGGAGGATTTTCTTGGGGCCAGAAGTATAAACCAAGTGGGAACTTGGGAACCAACAAGGGCATAACCTGCGATTTACCTTCTCGAGTCACTGAGGGACTGGTAGCTAGAGGTCCATGATTTAGTCTGGCGAAGTTGAGATACCTGGGTATAAAAAAAAAAAAAGAAACAAAATAGTGGCACTAAATATTTGAGGAATCTTGTTTGTGGGTAAACTGATACTCCAGCCTGTCAAAACAGGCAATAGTAGGAGAGGTTGTGCCGTTGTGCTGTAAACAAATGAATGTACTGTTTATTAGTAAAGTTTGGGCTCTTATAAATGATAAGCAAAACCACTATATCTACCAGATTAAAGCTGTAGAAGTAACTGGACATAAATTCTTCGAAGGCATTCAAACAGACACAAAGTGAACTATACATGGCTCATTGATATTGCTATAAAACATACAATAAACCATTTCTATTCTACGTATAGTGCAAGCTGATCTCCAAAATAATAGCTATGCACCTCACATAGTATTTCAATAGCTAATTATGTGACTATGGATCTGTGTTCCACTTCATTTTAACAACCAGACTGACCCTCACACTGCTAATCCCCTGGACCTATCCCACCTTCTGCTTATGTTTTGCAGCATCTTTCTCTGCCAATTGGTCTTGTTCAATCTGCAAATCACGGCACTCAACAGAGCAGAAAGCACGAAGGTCACTGCATTAGAAAGAATGAACATAAGTATAAGCACTCTAAAAGCATTAAAATACATGACAAAGAACATCTCACAGGCAAAAGTAGAACTAAATACAATAATAGTTGTATTTGTCGTTCATGCAATACTATACACGTCTAGTACAGTATATAGCGACACAAACTAGCATACATACAGACTTTTAGTGCAATATTCAATCATGCAAGAAAACATTCATATTGATTGAATCAATATATTAATTATAGTTTAACTTACATTTAACCCAAAAGTAATTGGAAAATTATCCAAGCCGGTTGAATCATAATCTTTCTTTAAGACAATATCGTTCCTCTAGTGATGAAGGTCTTCAAGAAATTGCCTTCGGCTTAACATTTTTGTCACAGAGGAACCGGCAAATAGAACTTTCTTACTTGTAGACCGAACAAAAAGACAGATTCGACTGGATTTTAGAAAGAGAATATTTTCAGATTTTAGGGAGAAGTATTCTGAAAAAAATATATATATATGATGATCCAAAATGCAAAAGAAATGGATCTATAAATAGCTTTCGAATGTAGTCATTCATCCAACAGCCATGGCCTTTCCGAAGGTTCGTGTTTTACGAAAAGATTGGAATTATGTAATTAGAAGGCGTAACACATAAAATGCTACAAAAATTTAGAAAGGATACAACTTTTTAGGAAAAGAAGCAAAAAGCCACAACTATTGTCAAAAGTCATTTCAATTAAAGGACATAACTTTTAATTTAAGACACACAAACAATGGACTTTTCATATTAAATTTCGAGAATTTTGTTTTCTTCCTTCTTCATTTTTTGTTTCCATCTCCTTTCTAACAAGAGACAAGGATGAGGACAGTTTCTTCATCCACAACAACCTTTTTTTCATGATATGACGAAATAAACTATGTAACTAAATGTAGTTTAAAAAAAAAAAATTCAGATTAACCTTATAATTGTCACGAGGAATTTTGACTTGGAACCTAGAGCATTATGAAAACAAGAACAGGTTTTGAAGGCGAAAAAATAAAAATAAAAATTGAGCATGCTCACCATAAAGTAATGAAACAAGAACATAAATGCGAAATAGAAAAAGAATCATGTTAGATTCTCAACAAGGTCAAGGGCAGGTAAAATTAATAATTGCAATGAGGTCCCCAATATTAAATTAAAAGGGGAAAATATCACATGTACCGTTACCAGCCGTGAATGGTTAAAGAAGCACTAAAAGCATTACTTATGCCTGTTTGATAGCCTTGATTTTTCGTGAAAAATAAAAAATGTTTTTCACTTCCACTCAATTTGTGTTGTTTGATTGCTAAAAATTTCTATGGAATTTGTTTTTCAACTTTCCTCCACACATGTGCCAATTCCATAGTTTTGTGGAAAATTTGGATTTCCAGCCACAATTTTTTTTTTTGGGCAATCGGAACAAATTCTATCTCCAATTGTAACAAATTTTGTCCCTTTAGTTGACAATTTCCAAAAAAAAAAAAAACCAAAAGATAAAAAATTTCAACTGAGAAATTATACAAATTAAACACATTTAATCACAAATGAAACAAATTCTAAACAATTCAATTCCCTGAATTCGTTTTCTTTCCACCCAAATTCCATCATTACAATCAAACGGATCTTTAGAAAATCATATACCAAAAACAAATTTAGTATATCATACTCAAAAATAGAAACAGAAAAAATCATGCTTGACATTGATATCTAATAATTCGTGCCAAAGAATCATAAAGACAATGAAAATCGGTTGATAATTGATGAAGCAAACTGAAGAAGAGTGAAAGAAAAAATGATTAGGGAAACAGAAAATCACAACCAGATTAAATATTAAAAATTAAAAAATATAAATCAAAAGACGCTACCTGTACATGTACGCCTCAGCGTCTTTAGCAATTTTCTTCCTACAGTAGTAACATTGCTCCAAAAAAGCACCGATCTTCTGCTGATCATCGTGTCCAATACTCTGGCCAACAATAGGAGAACCGACCGCCATAATCCTCGGCCTCATAATTTCCGGCTCTAAGACGTTTGCCACCGAATGCTCCGGGACCTTCGCCGGACTGACCGCAGAGGCGGTGGCGCTGGAGGTAGCAACCGGCGGCTTGACCTGGCCAGAAGAACTTCCAATTAGCTCGGGCTTCACTGACATTGTTGACGTGCTAGGGTTTCAGCAAAGATTTGAGAATGGCGGGAGTTTTCGCTACCAGTACCAGTGCGTGAACGATAAATCGAACTTGTGTTTTCAGAGGCAAGAAGCCTGTATTTTGTATTCATAGAATTACGGTGGGTCCCATGTACGAGAGGTTTTTCAACGAAATTAAAAAAGAAGAAGAAAGGTGGAATTTTGGTGGATAATTTTTCTTCGGTGGAGTTATTACACTGAATTCAACTGCTTAATCTTAACTGTGATTCATTAATTTTTGGTGGATTTGATTCTTAATTACTTTTGGAGAATAATTTATGCGTGAATTAAATGCATCATAACTGTCAGGTTGGAGTTGACATTATTGAGGAAGACAGCCACCCTATCAGGGAAAAAAAAAAAAAAAAAGGATGGCAGAGGTTTTGACCGCCTTTTTGCAAGTGTCGAGTTGCATATGTTTGATTGGTATGAAAAATATCATCTAAAAAAAATATTTTTCATCTTTTATAGAAAATAAAAATCACTTCTATCCAAGGAAAATATTTTCCTTAAAAACAAGGAAAATTAGGCATATTTTCAAAAGTTGGAAAATATTTTTCATAAAAAAAAATAGCAATCAAACACTCAAAGTAGGAATTTGGGTGGAAAACTGATATTTTTCATGAAAAATAAATGTAATCAAACACATAGAAAAAAAAATGAGGCCCCACCCCCTATTGTGAGGGTTGGTAAGGGCTTCAGTCGGTTTTTTCAAACGGTATAGCTTGATTGATTTTTCAATCCTGAATAGCACGACTTTCTTTGCGCAATAGTATGTATTTCAACAGTTTATTGAAAGATATCATCGCGTGAGCAATCAAGCTATGGTACAAGGCGTATCAATAAGTTTTTTCAATTTTTTAAAAAGATTTCTGACAATATTATTACTTTTTAACACTATTTAAAATCTCGTTTTAAGTTACAATTTTATTCTTAAGTGATAATATTTATAAATAAAAATTAAAACATGTTCCATTGTAAAGTAATAATTGACCAATGCATAAAACTTCTTTGTCAAAAAAATTTTCAATTATGCTACAAGTACATATATTTTTGCATCATTTTTTACAACTCTCACACATAACACAATGGGCCCCACGATTAAAATAATCGTGAGACCTACTTGTGTGAGTGGACTGTCAAAGTGAGTGTACAGCAAGTGCTATACACTCAGCTTAATTCAAAATTTTTTAACATATATTGACATACACTCACATGTAATAGGACCCCGTGTGAGACCCGCTTAAATAAAAAATGCCAAAAAGTGCACCCACCCCCTTCCATTGTGAGTGTTTGTCAAGGAGGGTGTCAAACCCTCCCGGGCAACATAACTTGGTCCTTGACCAATATATGTTCATATTCCGTTTAATTTGCAAGAGAAATTGTTGGAGACAATGTGGATTTCCAAAGATTGTGAAATATTTTTTTGTCGGAAAATGCTAAAGATTGATTTAAAATATATTTACTTGGGCCTGTTTGAATCACATTATTGAACAAAGAATAAAAAATTTGACCGTTAACTATTACATCTAACCGATTTCGTTGACTTTTCATCGCTTGTGTAAGGCCCAGCTGTGTGTACTACAGCTAAAATTCTCATTTCAATGAAACAAATAATGTGTCCCAAAAAGGGGCTTAATACGAAAAATAAGCATATATTGGTCAAGAACAAGGTCAATGATTCGTGTACTTGACAACGTTGAACCTATCCACTTACTGAAAGTTGTTTGAACATTCATTTTAAGAAATTGTAGATTACATATAAGAACCGAGCTCCATGTACAGGAGCTCGATTCACAGTGGGGTGGGGCCCCACACGTATTTTAAAAAATTTTGGGGCCCGCCCCCACCTCTTTCTCACTTGACATGGGCCTGTTTCACGGGCCCTTTTACGGGCATCATTTTCCTACATATAAATGGTAGCATTCTCAGTCAGATACTTAAAGATTTCAAAGCATTTATAGTTTAATTTTTTTTTTAAAAAATCTCACAGAATCCATGAGAAATCGATATTATCTTTAATATTCCTCTTGCAATTAAATTCTTTACATACTTATCCAAATCAATTTAATTCTAATTATAGCTTGCAATTAAATTCTTTCCATAATTATCTAATTCAATATATTTCAAATTATAGCTTGCAATTAAATTTAGTTCTAATTATAGCTATAACTTCGTCCATAAAAATCCATAGTGTCAAATACTGAAAATAAGAAACTTTCACTTATAAATTCATGATCTAAATGGTAAATAGTAACTTTCAACTTTTGCTGGAAAAATATGAGCGATGTTATAAACCAAAAAAAAAAAAAAAAAAGAGAACAAAAAAGAGAAATCAATAAAATTGTGTGCATAATATTGAGACCAAAGCCTAATATTTATAAGAAAGATGTACGGATACAATTAGAGATGTCAACGAGCCGAGTCGAGTCGGTTCGTGAACCAAAACTCATGGCTCGGGCTCGCGCTCGCGCTCGGGCTCAGGTAAAATGTACGAGTTTTTTTTTGAAGCCCGAGCGGAGTCGAGCAAAAGCTCGACCGAAAAAATTAGGCTCGACCTGAGCTTTCGACTCGGGTCGAGCTGGACAGGCTTGCTTTTTTCTTTGCTCTTTTCATTTTTTTTAATATTATAAGCTGCCTTTAAGGCAATCGAGCTAACTGCCTTAAGATAGCACAAGCGGCTGCCTTTCAAGGTATTTTTTTTTTTTTAAAATAAAGGCTTGCGGACCGACTTGGGCTCGACCCGTCCTCCCAAAATGGGGCTCAACTCGGGCTTTTTTCGGGTCGAGTCACGGGCGGCCCTAGCCAAGGAGCCGAATTGCCATCCCTAAATACAATGATAACAAAAACTAGGATTGTATATGTATAATAGGCATTCACTAATAATCATATTTTTTGCAACACTCCCCATTTAATGTCACATTAAAAAATGTCAATTAAATTAAATTGATTTTGAAATCGATATTATCTTTAATATTCCTCTTGCAATTAAATTCTTGACATAATTATCTAAATTAATTTCATTCTAATAATGGCTTGCAATTAAATTATTTCCATAATTATCTAATACAATTATTCAACATATTTCAAATTATAGCTTGCAATTAAATTTAGTTCAATTATAGCTATAACTTCGTCTATAAAATCCATGGTGTCAACTATTGAAAATAAGAAACTTTCACTTTTAAATTCATAATTTTAAGGATGGCAAAAAAATCAATCAAACTCGATACCTGTGAACCCCGTCCCGAACGGGGCAGAGATTACACGCTTAATTGGGTATTCAGGACGGGGGCAAAGGACTTCGCCCGGAGGTGAGTAAGGGTAACAACGGCCCCGTCCCGTCCCGTCCCGTCCCATCCAACTCTATTTAATTATTTTTTAAGAATTTAATACTTTAAATGAAAATTTCCACGAAACTTTATTATCTCTAATAGAATTTGGCAATTAAGATTATCTAATAAATATAACAAATAATAAAAATTTTAGTTTACCAAATATATTTGAATAATTTTACTTTTAAAAATAAATTAATTAATAAAAAAATAATAAATATATTATTGTCTCATTTTAATGAATATAGACAATAAAATGAATTATTTAAAATTAAAAAAAAAATAAACCGGTACTAAACGGGGCAAGGGATCTACCATATCCTGTCTTAAATGGGTAACGGGAGAAGTACGGGGTGAGAAATTACCTGTTGGGGTAGGGACAGGGGCATCGACCCCCGACCCCGATCTGTCCCATTGTGATCCCTACATAATCTAAATGGTAAATGGTACCTTTCAACTTTTGTTGGAAAAATATGTGTGATGATATAAATTAGAAAGAAAAAAGATTAAAAAAGAGAAATAATAGAATTGAGTGTAGAATATCGAGAACCAAAATATCATATTTATAGGAAGAAGTAGAAATAAAATAATAACAAAAATTAGGATTGCATTGGTATAATTGTTATTCACTAATAATCATATTATTTACAACACTCCCTCTTGAATGACACATCACAAAATATTTGCATCATTAAAAATATTGTCAACAAAATTCATTGAGACAAAAAATTTGATTGAAAGTAAAAGGGTACAATTGCTCCCATTGATTGTAATTCTTATTTCAATTCATCATTGTCTTGTATGTCGATGTCTTCAATATTGCAATTTTTGATGAAGTATATCTCATGTTGTATCGTATAGTTTTCAAACAATACCTGTCTTCATACAAAAATATTTATGAATCTTTGATGAATATAGTAACATGAAGATTCGAAAAATAGTTCATGTTGGTCCTTGCTATAAATCTCACCAGGAAAATTCAATTGGACAAAATTTTAGTCAAGAAAAAAAGAGTACAACACATTTACTCGCTCTTAAAATAATATCACTTGAATTATATGCTTCGGGCATATTAAATTTTTTTGGGATAATATTAATAGTCATGCCAGATGAGTTGGTTATAATCAAATTTATTATATGCATAACAAATTTTATGCATTGTCACACTAATAAAATGTAGACTTATGATTACATTCCTCACATGATAATTTATCTATTTATATAAGTTTTTGTGAAATTAATTATGTAAAAAGTCACGCATTTCATATTATGGCTTTACTTTTTTTATTTTCTTTTTGCATAATTATATACCTTTAAATTTTTGAACTGCAGGTTCAAAAAACTTCAGGTTCCTATAATAATTCAATTTATGATTGCGTCTATTTTATTTGGCCAATTATACTTCGATTGACATATTTTGATGCATTTGTTTCGATTCCTCGCTTATGATGCAGTGCATCATATGCAAAAGTGTTGTTGACAACTTTTTCTTTTTCGATTCTATTTCTTTTCTTACAACGACACAACTTATTGAGATATTTCAATTTTCAACATATCAGATGCCTTAACACTTTTTGAAATTTTATAATTTGTTATGTCTAAACACTCATCAAGAACATATGCCTCTTTAACGAGACCATCTTTACTGTTGCTTCATTTTCATTTGAAGGTTTTTGTATTAAAATTAAATATTATCAAACTTTAAGTGTGCCATAGATTCGTCAAATATAATATTGATTAATTGTCTTCCAAGACATTAATTCAAGTTAACACATTTAAAGTTGGTGTGTGCTAGATATCGTTAATCTCTTTAGTTAGTAAATGCATCTAACTGAATTA